ATACATGCATATACATACACAAATATTTACAAACATGTATTGCACATTTTCATGAAACAGCTGCTATTGGCAGTACTGGCAGTTATTAATGTTAAAACTCATCATAAGATATGAAAATTGTGTCACAAATATTTGTATTTTCTCTTGTTCTTTGAATTTCTGTACTGTTTATTACTGAACAAAACATTTCTATATGGAACAATAGAACAGTAAGCCAACAATTTAGCAATCTATTATTGTGTATTCTTATCAACAGCTTTAGTTGGAACACGTATGTCTCGATGATATGGCTTAACACAGGTTTTCATGAACATGATTGCATATTTTAATAAGATGTATTTGATACTTATTATCACTTATCATAAATATATTTAGCACGTAAAAATTTGTAAGATTATAATTACACATTTATAAATGTTCATATAATGATTTTTATGTTTGATATCATAACAAACAAATTTCTCTAATTTTAAGTTAGCATTACTGTAATCATAATAAAAAAAAATTATAAGCAATCATAATCATAACAAACTGACTTACACCTGTAGTCGCATGCTGAAAAACTGTCTGACTTTCAAGTAACATTCAAATACATTTCTCCAATCTTGAAAGATTTTAAAAATATTACTCATCTTGATTGATACAAAAACAACAAACACGTTTTATTTACACTCATATCATTTCCTCAAGATGCTATCTTCTGCCTTTCCCTCAGTGTAACATACAACCCATGTGATGATCATTCCTCATGGAAGGTAATTTATAAGAAAAGGGTCATTTGCACTGCAAATTACCTTTTAAGAATAAGTGTGGCTGACCTAGAATTTGTCCAATTCATGAACAAAAAATATTCAGCACATACTCTATACATTGATAATACTCCCATTCCCCTTACTTTGTTTGTATTTTCCCCCCCAATCCCTTGGGGAGTGCGAGGAGGGGGGGGGGCGTAGGAGGCGGAGACTGGGACCCAATGATGGGGAACTCCCCAACCTTGGGACTCAGCCCTCGACTCAACTAATTATGCATGGTCTTTTTTTCCCTTCCCACTTTTGTTTCTGTCCCTTCACCAAACCCTTCTGCTATCCACCTCCTAAGGTGTGAGAGCCGTGCTGAAAGGATGAAAGGCTGACTTTGTGCCAGTCCTGAACGGCCTGAGGGAGCCATGGGCACGGTATTCCCCTGATTTAGTTATCTAGCCCTTACCCCTCAAGGGGACCCTGAGGGGTGGACTGTTTTTATCCCCAACATAATCCAGGCTTACCATGGCCAGTAATGAAAATATATCCCCACTGTTAGGGGCAATGAGGCTTGCCCCTATATCAAATAGCCCCAACGAAGTAAACCCACCCAATTCCCCGACCCCAGGCTCTCCTTTGACCACGGCTCCGAACACTGCAATAACTACCCCTTCACCAATGCCTACTAGTACAGTAGCCAACAATCAACCCTCAAGGAACATTTCCACTCTCCCAGCATGCCCAACTTCAACACCTCTACCCCCACAACCTCCAACATCAACCACCCCATCCTCCCTTATTAATACCTTACAGCCTTATAGCCCACCTCTCCATAACACTACCTCCCTCAACACTACACTACTGAGGTAGCAACTCTCAGATTCAAACTTGGACTCACACTGCGTGAAGCCAGACAGGAAGCACGTCGACGTGGATTCTCTCTTACTCCTTACTCCAGTAATACTGCTCATTCTGACACTTCTCCTAAACCCACCCCTCCTACATCTAACTTCTACCTCCTACCTTCCCCAGTCAAACTCTTTTGCCATCCTAAATCCAGAAACTCCAATCTTTACTACAGATACTCTAATCACCACTACAACCCCAACACCTTCCCCTCTCCTTCCTCGCACTCCCCGTAACAGACAGAACAAACGTTCCACCCCCTCTTCCCCTACCACACAATCACCTCCACCATACTTTGCCCCTACTCTTGAGACACCAGTCCTCTCTTCCCCCCCTCACAAGAAATCCTTTATCCCCCACAACTCCCCAACCAACTCCTCAGAAGAAACTATTGAAAATATTCAAGATTACTTAATGCAAACTGACACTCAACCTACAACCCCTGCTCCTTCCACACTCCAAGTAACTGCTGATATCCACCCCCCTCCTAACGATATCCCCCTACACCCTATCCTCCTACCCCCTCCCAACACAGCCCATCCCCCCGACCCCGACCCCAACCCCGCCCACATTAACCCTCCCACCATCCCCTCTATCCCTTCCACTCCCTCCTGGATACACACGTGAATCCCTTATGTCACAAGTATCCCCTTCCTCAGACCCTCCATCTCCTAATACCCCTCCTGATAGAACACCAACTCCCACATCTCTCCCATCTCAAACCTCTCAGTCCTTATCCCACCCTCTAGCTGCTTCCCCCTCAAAGTCTCCAACACGTACTGCAATCTATATCACTAAATCAACGAAAGTATAACTATCCTTCATTGGAATATTCGCGGTTTCCGCTCCCACAGACCTGACCTTCGTCATATCCTTTCCTCTTATAACCCATCTATTGTATGCCTTCAAGAAACCTTTCTTACACATCCTCCAATACCAATCCCCAATTATCATTTTGTCTCTTCCCCACATTCCCTTTATGTCTCGTCCATACTTATCAATCAGAAAACACCTTATGTCACACCACCCTTTCAAACCAATGTCCCTTGCACAGTTATTCGTATCTTCCTTCACCGTTGGATCACAGTGATTTCAGTCTACTTCTCCCCTTCCCACCCCATTGACTTTGTTGCTTTTGAAATCTAATTTCCCAACTTCAACCACCTTTCCTCATAGTGGGCGACTTTAACTGCCGCCACACTCTTTGGGGTGATTCTATTACCAACTCCCGAGGCCGATCTCTAGAGCGCTTCCTCTCCACAGCTGACCTTACTATTCTAAATTCAGATCGCCCCACACACTTTGATACACGCACGCAATCTTTTTCATGCATTGACCTCCCTCTATGCTCCCCTTCTCTTCATATAGATTTCCACTGGTCAGTCTTAGACCACTTTCCCTATAGTGACCACTTTCCAGTTCTCCTTTCTCCTACTTCATACGTACCACTTCCTATCTCCCCACGCTGGTGCTTTGATAGAGCCGACTGGCATACTTTCACTTCACTCTCTGATATTCATACCCCTCCATCCTCCCTCACCTCCATTTCAGAAATGATACAATGTTTCACAACTACAGTCTTAAGAGCTACACATACAGCTATCCCTCGAACCTCAAGACCATATACCTCTAAATGTGTTCCATGGTGGAATTCTGATTGCACTAAAGCACTTCGCTTAAAAACGTGCAGCCTGGAACAGTTACCGTTACAAGAGAGGTACTCCAAATCAACTATCAGCCCTTATCTCCTTTAAAAGAGCATCTGCCTGTCTTCGTCGTACAATCCGGAATAGTAAAACAAATAGCTGGCGAAATTATGTTTCATCAATTACATCCTCTACATCTATCTCAAATGTATGGCGACGAATCCATAAACTATCAGGCAAACATCCCCCTCATCCTGCCCCCGTCCTCCATATTCGAGATACCCTCATTTCTGATCCTCTCCAAGTCGCTAATGAACTGGGTGATTATTTCAGCCAGGTCAGTAGTGATTCTCACCTTTCTCCACACTTCTCTTCTATCAAGACCACCAGAGAACGTACCCCCATTACCTTCACCCCATCCT